AGCGCGAGGAGCGCTGCCCTCGCCGTCCCTCCCGCCGGACCCCCGGCCCCCGATGGCTCGGATGGGGCTTGCGGGCGCCGCTGGACGCTGGTGGGGACTCGCTCTCGGCTTGACCGCATTCTTCCTCCCAGGTAAGCGCGCTCACCTCTGCTGTCCCCACCCCCATCCAGTGCCTCCCCGGGGCTGGGAGCCGGATGGCGGGCACGACTGGATTGTGGGGAGTGAAAGGAGCCAAAAAAGTTGGGTCACGGCTTGGGTAAAGGGGGTGGGAGGTGGCACGGCGGAGAAAGAGGTTGAGAAGCCGAATAGCCTGCCCTGCAGGGAAGCAGTCGGATGCACGTCTCTATGTACCATGAAAGCACTTTCTCCGCTCAGTTCTTTACAAAAATAATAATATGTAATAGCGTTCTATTTATTTAATAACCAGCTCTCTGCTCGGAAAGCAGTTTGGAAACACTGCGTGTTACATAAATGCAAAATAATCACCGTAATCACCGTCTCGGGGTGGGAGACAACAGCCCCAGGGAGAGGGCGTCAGTCTCGGAGCTGATGGGTTGCGGATTTGGAGTATGGCGGGGGCGGGGGGGCTTCGTTTCTTTCGGCGGCCCCTTTGCCAGACGGCTCAGGACGCTGGGGCCCCCTTCCGCCCCACACCGCCCCACAGCGGGCGCGGAGAGCCGGCTGCTGCAGCAGAGGCAGCTCCTCGCTCACCTGCGGTTCCTTTCCTGGAGGGTGAGGCCGGGGCAGCCTGGGATTGCAACCTCCGGGCCTGGCGCGGGACCGGGCTCCCCCTTGGAACTCTGCTCCCAGCTCTGGGGGCTCTCCCTGGAGGAGACGCCGCGGGCTTCGTGCCAACCAGGTAGCTGCATGACCCACTTTCCCGAGGGTGCCCCGCGTGTCCTTCCTCGAGGTGCGGGCTGCCGGCAGCCGAGGGGTTAACCTCGTGCCCGACCCCGGGGTGGCCCTGGTGGCCCATTCTGACGGGTGGGGTGGGCTCGGAGGCTGGGACCGGCCCAGGCATATTGTGCTGGGGAATGAACTGGAAAATGCGTTTAGGAGGCAAATCCGACCGAGTCCCCTCGCCTGGATTTAACCCTTTGTGTCCCTGGAGAAGCTGCCGAGCTCGCTGGCTGGCTGGTCACCAAGCGCGGGTCAAGGGGTGTGGGGAGTTCCTCCAGCTCCCTGGGTAGAAACCAGAGACGACCTGCAGCTCTAGCAAGATGGGATTTTGAGGAGCGGGGAGGATCTTGACTGGAGCACGTGGTCCCCGCCTTGGGGTGGCAGATTAGGGGGTCAGTGTACAGACACTCTCTCCTCGTGGGGCAGGAATATTAGATCCCGAGTTCCTACAATGTGCGATGCCGCAGAATGGCCAGGCAGTTTGTTATCGAGAGACCAGTCTGGCTGCCTAGTTCCGGGGCTAGGGTGCACTCCTGGAAGGCAGAAGCCTGGCCTCATTCCCTTCTATGCCTCTTCTGCTGCCAGCCAGCTCACTAGGAGGCCCCCGCCAATCTCCCTGAGTGGTGGATGTCTGGGAAGCAGTTTGTGAAAGCGGGTACTGGGGTGCCTCCACCCCTGAAGCCTGGGGTGCTGCCCTGCTGGATTTTGGGGGGGTAGGGAAAATCCAGGGCTCACAGGTGTCACTGCTCACCCTGCCCCCAGAGGGTGGTCTTGGTGAGAGCCAGAGGTCTTCTCACACTGGATGGCCTAGGAAGCCAGCCTGAGATACAGAAGTTCCGGCTCTAGGACTTGCCTGGCCACTGGGATTTGAGCTTCCAGGAACCCTTCAATTACATATGTCCTTATCCAGAACCCAGAGAAAGGAGAGCTTCCCAGAGCTCTGGTTGGTCCAGCACACTAGGGGTTAATGTAATCCTGGGATGGACAAAGGGTGGTGGGATGGGTTGGGAGAAGGGGAAGGAACCCACCCCATTCTCCCCTCCTTTTGTTATTCTCTTTCCCCAGCTTTGTGATCCCTTCATGGTTAATTCCTTCATTGGGGACTAGAGGTCTGCTGTGCTCCACCCACTCAGGAAGTGGGAGCAGGGAGGTGAACTCACCTGGCTCAAGGTGGATACAACCCCTGCCAAAAATCCACATGAAAGGGTGGGATGCAGAGAAAGGAACCAGGGTTGAGAGAGGTACTTAATAAATGCTCTTCCATCGACTATAATTGACTGATGGATAGCATCCATGCACCCAAGTTCCCAAACCGCCCAGCTCCTCTGCCCAGTGCCTGGGCTCCTGGGGCCTTCTCTGCTTGCTTGCTCTAGGGTCCATGAGTGCAGAGAGGCAGGTGGATACGGTTGTGCCCAGTCTGACACTTGGATGGAGGCTGGTTGGCCCAGAAGTTGCAAGTCCACATCCTACTTTGCATCACCTGCCAGCTTCCTCCCCATTGCCCGCTATAGCATCTCTCTAGGGACTTGCCAGTCTGATGCTCTTTTCAGGGTTTTCCTGGGCTGTGACAGGGAACCTGGGTCTAGGGGTTTGAGGAGAGGAAGAGGGAGGGGCCTGGAGTGTGTGCGATTGCCCCCAACTTCAAAACACTCCCAATCTGGCTATTGAAGTGTAAACACAGAAGTATGTTTTCAACAACACAGACTTCACTAAGCAGTGTGGTAAAGCCCCACAGGCCTCTGTTTCCTGAGATGACAATCCACGGTTTCTTCCTGTTAACTTAGAGGAGAGGGTCAGTGGGGCAGGTGGGTTACATCCCAAAAAGAGATGGGGGAGCCCGAGGAGGAGGCAGAGAACCTGCCTGAGAAGCAGGTGCGTTGAGCTGGTGTCCCACCTACACCACACCCTCCCTAATTGGCTTCCCTACACCTTTTGTCTGGAAAGAGAACACACACCCCAGGTGTCATGCACACCCTCGGAAGACCTGTCGGGTCACAGCACACCCCTCTCTGCAGCTTGTGCAGAGCTTGCTGCCATGTGGTCTTTGAAATTCCAAGTGTCGGGGCTATTGGGTTATTTTCCTTCCTCTCTCTCTATTTCTCACATACAGTGGTGTGCTTCAGCTTGCTGGGCAAGGCATTATGGCAAGACCAGTTCTGCTGGCCTGGGGTTTGCAGCATGTATAAGTGGGAATCTCCTTACCCACTTATAAGGCAGCACTGTGGAGTGCCTTGGAATTGGATTCTAGGACTCCGTAGTCAAGACTGGAGGGGAAGAGGAGATACTGCAGAACTTGGGCCCAGTTGCCCTGGCTGAGTGACCCAGAAGGCATCTCTTTAACCTGAACTTGTGAGCATATGGGGCAGGTAGCCCTCGTTGCCTGAGGCTGGCTGAGGTTAAGAGTGTTATCAGTTCCCTTCTCAGCCACTCACATTTGTACAATGAATCCACCTTGGCTACTGCTTGACCACCAGACTCTGTTGTATGTTGCCAGGATGGTTGAGCTGGCCAGAACCCTAGACAACCCAGGATGTCTGAGCAAGTGAGCCCGGCTTGGGCGGGGGGCAGAGGGTCAGTTCCAGTTGCTGTGTCTATGATACTGCCATTGTTTAGCAGCTGACTAATGTTCATTGTTCAGCACAAACAGAAAACACCCAAGGGAGGTGTGAATGTATCTTCGATTTTTCCGATTGTATCTTTTCCTGGCTAACCTGGTGAATTGAATGCCTCCTACCTCAAAGAGGGACAGATAGAGAGGTGTCAGCATATTCACCTGTTTTGCTGATTTAAAAAAAAAAACAACTTTAAACATTAGCCAGTGTGCCAGGCTAGAATGGTCATGAGCCAGTTGTGGAACTTAAGCTGTGACATTTCTGACAGTCTGCATAGGGTCTCACCTTTAGTATAGAGTGTACGTGCACACACGTATCCAGGGCTTTGTGTGTTTGTGTTGGTGATCTGCCATTCACTGTGCATGTGCGCATCTGTGGGGACTAGGAGTAGGAGATGTATGTACTTGTGTCTGTGGGTCGCTATGGGACTAGGGCCATAAATATATAACATCGAATGTATATTCACATGTAACTGACTGCTTAGAACTTTCTGACTAGGACTTTGTGAGTGGTCCGGACTTGAGAATGCGTCTCTTATGTGTCAGGGTGTCAGTGAGGGTGACTTTGGGAGGGCACCCAAGATTTGCCCTTGGTTCGCTCTTCTAGGACACACTACCGGCCCCTTTGGCAGGTGGAAAGCCTCTATGCCGCTTCCTTTTTGTGTTCTGCCCTTGGCTTTAGACTGGGCCTCTGCCTCCTCACAGGGAGATGCTGAAGACCTTGACCACACCGGGAGAGAGATTCCTCTCTTGTCAGCCTTCTGTTGTTTCCCTGGCAGGCAGAGCAGCACTGGAACCTGGCATTACCTGGGGCCTGGCCTGCCCAACGAGTTCTCATGATCCATGAACGGCTGGGAGGGGCAAAGGGAGACAGTTTTTCAGCTCCTAATTTGGCATCTTTGCTTCCTACATGGGTACTTAAGAAAAAGAATCATGGTGTGTGTGGGGAGGGGAGGTAGCATACTCTGGGCATTGAAAAAGGGTGTGAGCATGAGCTTTGGTCCTCCATGAGGGCCCTGCAGAGCTGTGTGTGCCCAAGTGGGCAACATACATGTGCCTGGAAGCATCTTGGGTTCGTGAAGCAGAAAGCAGGAGCCCCCTTATTGGAAAAAGAAGTGGGAATAAGGGACAAGGAGTGGGGAAGAGGGTGATCCTGGGAACCCAGCACCCTGTGCCCAAGCCCGACTGGAAAATGTTTCCCCATGATGCCCACCCCTGTCCATAGAGACCAGGTCTGCAGAGCCAGCAGCAGATGTGCTGGCTGGGGCAGGAGGTAACTTAAGATCTGAGCAGGGATCACCTTGCAGAGGGAATGCCCTGAGCTGGAGATAACACCCTTTAGTCCAGTTAACCCTTTAAGCTCTGGATTCTCTCATGCTGTTGGGGGCTAGGAGATGCGGAAAGGGAAGAGATACGAGAAAACATACGGAACATAATATCTGTACCCCAGCCCATTCCACAAGGAGAGATGAACTCTGTGTAACAGGAGAGACCCGAGACGGACACAAAGAAAGACTTTCTGACAGCAGATTGTAGAATCTTCAGGGCAATAGATTATCCCAGGTTTGCCCTGGGTGGGGGACGGGGAGGCAATAAGTATGTATTCTCAGGGGGTGGGGG